CAAAATATGTATGAAATACATGATTTTAAAATGTCTCTATTTCCCCAACGTCGGACATTTTAAGTATGTTTTGTATTATCCCTAAGAACAGGAATAACTTCTATGGCCATACATTTTGATACACATTATGCACATATTTTGTACTTTAAAAAAGGGGGGAAAAAACCCTACATGCCAGCCTTCGCCTTAGTGATATCATTTATATATTGATACAACAAATATTCCCTGCCCCAGTTTAAAGTACGAAGTACAAAAGTAGAGGAGTACAGAGCAAGATAAATCAGAACAAACATATATGGGGTGTGTTCTTTATGGCTAAAACAGTTCACAGAACCGGTTGGTCTTCAGGAACATTTTTAAAGGAGTGTAAGGAAGTTCCCTGATAGTACTACTTGAGAAAGCATGAAGAACAGAAATGAAGAAGCAGGTTCAAAAAGTGGGACTTAATTTAGAAGGAAAAAGAGGGAATAAAACACAATTCCTACTTGTATCCATTACAGTTTATTGAGAGCAAGAAAAGACAGCTTGATAAAGATGGGGGGAAAAAAGAGTATCAACCACTAAAAAGAGATTTCTGTTGCAGTGCTTTCCACTGTTTTGCTATATTTTTTGCCAAACAACATCCACCTTTTCATTACTTTATTAATATTTCTATTAACTTTTTTAGTTAAGTATTCCAGCAATGCCATCCATTCCTCACCTCAAAACTCCAAAGCTGACAGTGTTGACATGATCGATATCAGCTTGATCAATGGCAGCTTCAACTACTCATACCCATACAAATGTACACTCTTGTTATTATGGTATATAAAAAAAGATCTTGCAACCTTACAGGAATTGCATTTTAAATGGATATTATCAGCGTAGTTTCAACAGTCCATCATACACAGGCATACCCATGCACAGAATAGCACAAGGACATATGACACACACATTCTTATCAAGTGTCCTACCTACAGTCCTTCAGCATGACAAGAAGTGTTTCTTGCATTCAACTTCATAAGAACTTATGCCTAAGGAATCCAGAAATTTTATAATCTGACTTTTTTCTCTTCAAGTCCCTAAAAAAAGAAAAATGCCCACATCTTTATGAGCCTTGAATGTATATGTTAGTTAAATACAATTTGGTGTTCTAAGAAGCTTCCCTAATTTTATCTGGTGTTGATGATGTAGGCTTTCTGGAACCACTGTAATTATAGTGCCTGCTATAATTACAGTATCTTTTCTCTTTACAAATGTACTTAGCACATTTTATATTAAGACAATCCCAAAATTTACTTGGAGGTTCCTTTTTTTATGCTCATATCAGAGGTTTCTGAAAACTGACATAGATTGCAGTATCCAGTTAAATGTAGCAGTACTGGTATTACATATGCTTACATTTTAAATATTACCTGAATCAAAAGTACAGAAGCACTTTACATAACATTTGGACTGTCATATTGTTTTCTTATGACAACAAATTAGTTATTTTGTAGGCATATTTAACCCGATTCCCCAAATGAAACTAAATAGACTCATGAAAGAATTTGACAGCAAAATCACAATTATCTCCTCTTTATGTGATGATTTTGCACATTTTAACACATTATTCTGGCAAAACTTTAAATTGCAGGCCATAACTTGGGCATGCCAAAAAACCCCAGTCATATGGGATCCAATTATTTAAGTGTTGCCCAGAGAGAAGTAGAATTCAAATACACGTGTAAAATTTGTTCAGGTGCATGTCAGTCTCATCCTTCATTACTAGGCAAAATGTGGCAGTACCCAACAATTCCAAGTTTTTACATTTTTCATGGGTTTGCATAATTTATTTCCATAAATGACAAAGGTAACAAGTTTCTGTGAATTTAGAAAAGTCCTTTTCTAAAATGAAGTTTACCTAACTCAGGGTTTGTCCCTGCAAAATACTTAGATTGGTACTACAGAGAAGAGAATGTAACACTGTATATGTATGTGTGGCTCCATTCAATATAGCTCATGGTGAAATAAATGTTCCAGCAACTAGCAAACCTTGCAAAATCAATTTATTTGCTCATCAGTAAGGAACTATTTCTCAAAAGGCCAATTAATGTCTTGGCAGAAACTAGAAGGGTAACTAGGCAAACTTCAGAAGTGATTAATTTTATTTATTTTTGGGCCAAAGACTTCACGATCATCACAGGGCTGTTCCATTGTGCAAGCCGAAAAGGGATTCCTTGGTCCATACACCTTGCTCTCCTTTCCCAGTGTACCAGGAGAAATGACAAGGACTGGACTTTCATCCTAAAATAATGTGACCAGGACACATAGCTGGATTCAGCAGGTGGGAATTACCGCACTGTTTCTTGATGTTACCGACATAGAAACAAACCAAAACAAACAGTGCTATATGTAGAAGATAAAATGGCATAGGTAACTAGTTTACCAAGCTTGCATTCTAAGACAACCAGAAATACACTAACTCTGTTGTTCAATGGCTTAGTTGATTATTCTTTAGCATAATTTGGTATTAGAAAGAGGACTAAGTGCCTAGGGAGAGATGTGGCCACCAACAAGTGAGAAGTACCACTTACCTTGAAATCAGTGGCCTGAGGGTCAATCCTCTAAGTGCATAAAGAAGCCTGTA